GTCAACTTTTCTTAGCTTTAAAATAAAAATTAAATCTTTCCTTCAACCTTGAAGGAGGTTGCATATTTATAAATTTAAAAAAAAATCGCTTGGTGAAACATTAAACCTTGATAAGAATTTTGAATTTGATAATAATCAAAATTAAAATTTATTACCAGTTCATTTAGTTTACTAGATATTGACATAATAAAACATCCGACCAGCTGGAAATTAAATATATATATATGCTGGAAATAATTTTTTTTTTTTTAACAACTATAGAATTTAGTTGGTCAAATAATTTATTTGCATAAGGTAATAGACCATTTTTAGCAACCAAAATAAAAAAACTTACGTCATAAATAATATTTTTTTTAAATATCCCTCATATTCAAGATTATACCAGATGAAAAGTTATGACCACAGCTATTAAAAAGATACATCATTACCAATAGTAATTAACTAATTGCGGAAATGAAGGATACGCCAATTGTGTCCTAATCAAAACAAAAAAAAATAATTCGTCCTTCATATAATTCGCAGAGCATCATCTATAAGGGTCTTTTGATTAAACAAGTGTTTCTGATTCGAAAATTTAAAAATATTCACAACTGTATTAATGTTATATATATATTAAAAACAACTAAGATAATAAACTTATAAATACAATAATATCCCGTCTTTAAACCTTCTTAAGAAACAATCACCTTTAATTTAAGCCAACAGTGGGTTTTTGTTGAAGTTGAAACAAAACAAGACCTAGAAGAAATATGTGCTAATTACTGTTAAGTAAAGAATTTTTAATTTTATTACTGGGATAATTGTTAAAATAATTTATGATTTCTCCTTCATAACAGTAGTGTTCAAGGTAAATATCCTATGATGTGTAAGAAGATCCAGTTATCATATAACTTGGAAGATCCAAGTTATCGATATTTTTATTACAGGAAATTAATAGATTTTACCATTAAAAATGTTTGAAATGCTATAAATAATTTTATTTTTTTAGCAACTATTTTGTGTGTGTGTGTGTGTGCAAAGAATGGTCTTCTGTCGAAATTATGCGAAATTAATTTTCGTGTTTAATTTTTTTTTTAAATCATGAAAAAATATCCCTATTCAATCTCAAAAATACAAAACAATACTGTACAAAACAGTCATACAATACAATAGTGAAACGATTTAAAAAAAAAAATTAAGCACTTTTAAAATAATTATTTCATCAACCGTGAAATAATCATTTAATAAATAAGATTCAAAAATTAATTATTCCCCTGGGATAGAATTCATTTTATTAATGTTAGACGTATTCTTAAGGAAGAAATGTTAAATTTAAACAAATTGATAAGGAATAATTAGTAATTAGGGAAGTATTTTTAAAAATATATCATTTACGTATTTTTTAAATAAATAAATTATAACATATTGTTTTTATAATGAATATTAAGATCAAGACTTACGAAAGCAATTTTGTGTAAATAGATATTGGGAAATTTTTTTATTAAAACATACACTTTTACATATTAATTTTACATTTTATAAAAATAGAAAAGAAAACTGTTTTTTCCAAAAACACTATTTAAAATGTTGGTAATAATATTATTATTTATTACCATTTGTAGTTAGAGAAACACTAAAAAATGAATCCGTCTATTTCCATACAATCTTTTTATTTTATTTTTGTATCCATTTGTCTTAACTTTATTTTTAAATATTTTTTATATTTTGTTGGTTTCAAAAAAATATTCGAAAAAAAAAAATTGTCAAAGAATATGCAGGACAGCTGGATAAAACAAATATTCTCTCTGGTGTTCCCATTTAAAATTCAAATTTTTGTGGGTTTTAATGCTAGTGGGTTGTGAATTTCACGTCAAACATCGATCATTCATAAGTAAATAACTACCTTTTTTTGAATTATATTAGACTTAAAAAAAAAAAATTGCTGAAAGTAGATTTCTGGAAGTTATGAGACGGAAGTTCCTTCGGCATTCGATTCCTTTTCAGTAAACGTGACCAAAAGGACACCAGAAATGAAAATGACATCAAAGACGTCCGTTTTAAAAATAACATGACACCCGTGATAAATACATCCTACTAGTTGCTAAATAGTGTGGTAATTATCCTTTCGGAAGACAGAGCTTCATTCATGTCCCTTTCCAGAAGATGTCCTCTAGATAGCTGGTCACACATGTCACAGCTAAAGTATTTCTCGAAGCATATTTAAGTAGAGTACGGAATTATTATAATAAAAACAAAAAAGATAACAAAATTGAACGAATCGTTTTGAGAGAGATTCTATGAATTATTACCTTCATTTGTAAACATATACATTTTTTTTTTTAGTGTAAGTTACCAGTAGTTCATTAAAAATATATATAAATCATTTTTTTTTTAAAATGAAGCTTTTTTTCATTCTATAAGTAATTTCTATAGGTAGCTATATAATAGTTCTATAAGTAGTGCTATGAATCACCGATTTCAACTCAACATGTTGATGCATTTATTAAATATAATATTAGTAAGATTGTCTACAACCGTCCACACTACCTATTCTGATGACACGTGTGTGTTGTCTGTTAATAATGGACCAACTATTGCATCACAAACCCTGTAGTCACACATTTCAGCCATTGGAATGTGCAAATTGAAAATGATGTGCAAATTGGAGAATGAAAATTAATCCAAACAAATCTCAACAAATTACTTTTACTCTTCGCCGTAAGCCTACAACATACATCCTACCGTATCCTTTAATAATATTCCACTGATCCCCGTCGAACAGATCCGTTGCCTAGGACTCCGTCTTGACAAATGCCTTACCTGGAATCCTCATACTAGACTTAAAAGACAAGAAACTGCCAACAGATTCCGACTACTACAACACTTACTTGACAAACGCTCAAAACTTCCAATATTCTACAAACAACTCATTTACACTACCATCATCAGGCCCAATTGGACATACGGTATTGAGCTTTGGGGGCTCTACAAAAACATCAAATTCTTCCCTTATCCGATCCTTACTATCAAAAATCCTCCGTAAACTCCTAAATGCTCCTTATTATTTAACAAATAAAATTATCCATAAAGACCTGAACATTCCTCTTGTGGAAGACTTGACCCGAACTAAATATACCTCTTTTCATTCCAAACTCTTTGGTCACCCCAATCCTCTAGTTTGTAACCTTTCATCCAAAACAATTCATGACAACCCTCCGAGGCATCTGAAAAGAAGATGACCAAGGGACCTCCTAAATTAATTTATCTTTGAAGTGTTACAAATGGGTAGCGTCTTCAAAGTACCTTCATGTTATATATTCCTATTGCAGATTTATTGGTTGAATACATGTTTACAGTTGTAAAATAATAAAATAAAATAAAAATATTGACTATTCAACATTCAAAAAAGTAACAATTTACGTACTAAGTTTCTTACTATTATTTTGTCCCATTCGCAAATATCTCCCCTGATTAATAGTTAAGCAATAAGTCACTGTATAGAAGTCTGTTAATGAGTGTATAAAATTCTTACCTGAATATTTTTGTATTTATTAAATTATTATCGGCACATTTTCGATAGAATTTGGTTTGTCGAAGATAAAATAAATAGCAACGTTTGAATTTGTGAAACAGCACCTGATAAGCATACCTTGGCAACCATATCTATATGTGAGGCACTGGGCAAGAATTACGGCTTATCACGAAAAAGGGATATTTTCGGGCTTTAACAATTTTATGAAAAAAAAACACTAAAATTTCTATAAAAAGTTTATTATAACTAATCTAAATTGTTCCTTTTGAAGCCTAAACAATTTAATATATTTGACGTATTTCTTCGAAAAATATCTGGAAAAAAAGGCTTAATGAATACAAAATTATATTTGCGTATAACTCAAAACACATTTTTCGATGATTATTAATAATAATTTAGTACTAAAACATACATCACAAGTACTTAATTTTTCTAGAAAATAGCAAAATGCGTGTTCTACCTAAAATATGATATAATGTGTTTTTTTTGTTTTGTTTTTTATTTTAATGAAATTAAAACTGTATTACATGAAAATACAACAAGTAAATGTGACATTGGTAACATGACATGTTCAACATGAAGAGAAACTACCCATTGGTAGAACTCCCCCGAGGCCATCTTCTTTTCAGACGCCTCAGATGGCTATCAGGGATTGAGGAGGAAACAAGGTTTGAAACGAGAGGGTTCGGATGGTTCTGCAGTTTGTTATGGAAGGATAGGTATCTGGATTGGGCCAAATCGAAAAGATATGGAACATTAAGGTCTTTATGGATGATTTTATTTGTGACAAAGTAAGGAGCGTTGAGGATTTTACGAAGGATTTTGGATTGTAACGATTGGATACGATAGGAATTCGATGGTTTATTGGAGCCCCAAAGCTCAATTCCGTAAGTCCAAATAGGTCTTATTATTGACATATATATGAGTCGTTTGTAATTGATTGAAAGCTTAGAGCGTTTGTCTAGTAAGTGCTGCAGTAGTCGAAAACATCGGGCGGTTTCTAGTCGTTTCAGTCTGGTATGGGGGTTCCAAGGGAGTCGTTTGTCCAGGTGGAGTCCTAGGTATCGGATTTGTTCGACAGGGATAAGAGGGCTACTGTTGAAGGATACTGTAGGACAGGAAGTCATAGGCTTACGACGAAGAGTGAAGGTAATTTGATGGGATTTATTGGAATTTATTTTAATCCTCCAGTCAATAATGTGTTTAATATCTTTGAAAGCAGCTAAGTATTTTATTATTCCATGAAATTCCCATTCATATAATACCTCATTCATCAAAATCCATCGCCCCTAATGGTCAGAACAAGAAATGCCGTACTGTATATAGTGTAGATATATTATTCATATAAATAACTATTGTAAAGGTAACTTGCTTAAAATAGATAATTGCTCTATGAACTCAGCTACTACCAACGACATTTCCTACTCATTCATATTCTTCAATCGGGATTGAAGAGGAATGGCTGCGTCACTGTCACAATTGAAGCCTGTTATTGCCAATTCGCAGTCAGAAACACGACGGCACGCCAAAGCCCGCTGCCCGTCCCCGATGAATTATGTAACGAGTCGACTGATCTTGAGAACATGTATCTTAATCTACTTCCCATTATAGAAGCGAAGAATAGATCGCCTGCGATAAAAGAAGCCGGGATGAAAAGCAACGTGATGCAATGAATAGTTATCTGTCGTTGAAGAGGTTGTAGAATATTTAATATGTAGTTAGTAATCTAGTACAACTTGTTTTGTATATGTAATAGGCAAATAGTATAATACATTGCATTGTAAAGAATATATATATATATATATTTGAATACTAAGAGAAAAATAAAAGTAAAGTGGTTCTTATCAATAACTTGGCAACAAAATACAATTACATAACTTAAAAATTCCTGCAAGCTTGCGGAAAGTTGGAGGAATAAGAATTGTTTGAAGAAATCTGTGGAGCTGGTTTGGCGTATGACGATAGCTAAGAGTTCTAAGGGGGGTAGCAGGAATGACGAAGGAATTGCTGAAGGAAGTGGTTTTATGGGAGGTATATAATATATAGATCTATAGATTGAGATCTGGTATTAAGAGAGCGGATAGAGGAAGGTAGACAGAGGAGTTCTAGCATGTAGAGAGCATTTTTGGTTCTGAGGCAAAACGAAAATGCCACGAAGGAATTGCCGTCGGAAAGTAGGTTAAAGCCACTTCAACTATTATTCAATATTATTATTAACAATAATATATATATATATATATATATATATATTAATATAATATATATATATATATATTAATATAATATATATATTTTCATTTACGTCCAATGAGCATCATCTTACGATTATTTCTCTAATTCCTGAATTATCAATCATCAAAAAAAAAAAAAAAAAATTGTTTGTATCCTTTATTATAAAATAAAGCTCTGTTTATTTTTTCACCATATTTATTTTAATTTTCATAGCTACGTTTCGGCCGGTAAGCCATCTTCAAGCCATTTGAAGGTTTTATCCAGCCGTGCTTTTTGAACGTACATGACTGCAAAAAGCATGGTTGGATAAACTGGCTTTCCGGCCGAAACGTAGCTATGAAAATTAAAATAATTATGGTGAAAAAATAAACAGAGTCTTATTTTATAATATTAGAAAATTTTCACCTAAAACAAGCACATATGGATTTGTTTGTACCCTTTTTTTCATTTTTCCTATATCATTTTAAAAATACGTTATTGCTATTTAATTAGATTATTTTTTAATCATTTCCATCGTTTAGTGGTTCGCACTTGTAAACATACCAATACCTACCGATCTGTTTGTATACTTTTATATGTATGTGTTTATTCACAAGTATTTCAGCATTTTAATTTATTTACTTATGCTTGCCTTTTATTTCATACTTTATTAATTGTACAATTTATTCATGTTATTGTTTGTTTTTTTTGTAATCAATCAAATGCTCATGTATGTTATTGTACGTTTATACTATTCTTAGAGAACCAGGCGTCCAAGAATAATGGTTAGATTCATTTCATTCCATATTTGTTTGCAGTAGTTACTGCAGAAAATACATGAACTATCACAGTGTTCTTTTATAAATTACTTAACGAATGTATTACTTTATTTATATTACTTTTTTGAGAGAATTTAATAAAGAAATATAGATGTATTGCCGTCGAAAAATAGGATAAAGCCATATTGATTCGGTGTACAAATTGGAAACGCGGTACAAAGCCTGAGTAAGATAAATTTAACCAATCAATAAGGAATTACGATAAACATGGACCAATAAAAAAAAAATTGTTTTTATTATTTTATGGGTTCAGGGCCGTAAGCTCCCATCTCTGTTGATCTTATTCACATCACCACGATCAACTTCAACAGAAGGACGGAGTAATGTAAGATGATGCATTACAAATATAAATGGAAACATCCAAAATATAAAGCCTTACGTCTCCAACATATGACAAATAATTTTCTTTTGCTTCCTCACTACCGAAGGTAGGGAAGCATTGTATTCGTGCGAGAGGTTAAAAAATATTTTGTGCTCAGAATCGAAAATTTTCACTCGCGTTTTACGTTTCAGACATCAAGGACTAAATTTGATTTGGTATTTGTCTGTCTGTGGTAAAATCGATGTAACGGGCATATCACCTACTACCCTTTATCCGATTTTCAGGAATTGTACAGGTCGGTGTCTAGATGGTCCCATATCAAGTTCATTAAATTCTACACTTCCGCTTACGCACGCAAAAACGCATTTTTGTAGATGTGCCAGTATTTCATAAATGGCTCAAAATTGGATAACCGCATTTGTGAAAAAATAACGTAGGGTAAATTTGATTGAAATCTGTCCGTTAATTTCTCTTATAAGTGTGCAAACCTGTTTTCCTTGATACGTCTATATCTCTAAAACCGCAAGTTCAATTTGGCTGAAATTTGGATGGAATTTAGGGATTGGTAAACGTAAAATGAAGTAGGCATGAATTTTATCAAATTCTATCTACTACTCCATAAAAAAAAATAATCCCGCTTTTGGATCAGGAATGTGTTATTTGATATGCCTATAATTTGAAAACGGAGAATTCGATTTGATCCAAACTTCGATGAAATTCGAAGAATAGTAAAGAAATAACTTAGTATCAATTTCATTGAATTCCATTAAATAATTAAATTTAATATAAATAATTGTTAACAATATAATGATTGTAAAGTGTTAAAGGCACTAAAGATATGGAGTGGGAGTTATGTTAATACGATATTGTTATAGGGTTATAAGATAATAGGTTTTATTAAAAAAAAATAATTTTTACTGTATTGTTTGGTCGATTCCAAATGTTACTGACACGACACTTACTGCCGTTACTTAGATTTCGTGTAATTTACAATAAATTTAAATTAATTTTTACTCTGAGTTTGTGGGGAAAAAAAGTCTTAAATGTAATTGTGTTTATTTCCATTGAAGTCCAACCAGTCCGTCATGGTCTCGATTTCCTCTTTAAATATCGAAGTTGTGTGAACTTCACCCACATTTTTATATTCTCTAGCTTAATGCGTTTAGTTCTGACTGAAGAAAAGTATTGATCTCATTAACTCCGAACAAACAACAAGTTGAATTTTTCCTATTGATTTTCTAGTTCCATCCATTTTACGAGTTAAAACATACCTATTAATTAAATACCTTGGAAATATACCAATGAAAACTGTGAGGAAGCTATACTGACCTTACTTGGCATACGTTTTTCATGATGCTTGCATTAATGAATTATTTCGACTCAAGGCTTTACAGTTTGGATTTTTCCATTTATATTCTATTTATTTTACTTTTAGAGCTGCGTGTTCATTTATAATAATAATGCTCATATATTAAGGGATAAGTAGACATTTCTTGCGGTGCCGCTAAGCATCCTGGCCTCATCAATGAACGCTTGGGAAGTTCCGTGACGACAGCGTTGGGTGGGCCGCTGCGGCCGAAGTGGTCGCTGCGATAGCGATCGCGATTGAAGCAGCAGGCCACGCCTCCGGAAGCTGTGACCCCAGGCCGTTCCAATCCGCCTCCAATCGCTCCATTGTATATCTTGTCGTATATATCAGCCCAACTTCCATCATCGGCTCTATTAGAGCAAGAGGAAGCGGGTCTGATGTTTAAATGCTGTGGCATGCCGATCATAGGGACAGGGCTACCCTTAGCAGCTATAGTGGCATCTTTAGCAAAGCCCTCTGGACAATCAGCTATCTGCAAACATTTTGTATTTTTCTTCCATTTAACAAAAATAGGTACGTAGTAATGAAATGCCTAGATTCTGGATTAATCTAGAATTGCATAATGAATGAACCAAAAATATAAATCTTTTATTTAAAAAAAAAAAAGTTTTCATATCAATTTTTTAAGAAAAAGTAATCGATTTTTTATGATGTTGTATCGATATTTGTACCAAGAACACCAGTCATGGCCCGCGAGATTTAGTGGAGGTGTCAATGTCAAAATGTTTCAAGACCCATGGATGAGTAAACGAAAGCTTCTTAAAACTAGTCAATGGCAGAATATCTTTTAATAATCCCTTTTTTGAATTCGAGGTTCTTATTCAAATGTAATAACTAAAGTGATAAAAAAAAAAAAAAAAAAAGAACGGTCCATTATTTTCGAAGAAAATGCGCGGACGGCGGACGGACAAAAAAATTTTTATTCGCATTTCGAATTCTACGCATCCTGAAACGTGAAACCTCAAATTTTGAGAGGGAGTTAAGTTTTTGAATTTTTTAGTCGATCAAAATGGTTGATTGTTGAACATAATAAACCAAAAAATGCATTACATTTAGGCTTATTACAAAAAAAAGTTATACTCTAACGGATCTTGTGTTCATTGCTTTTTAAGAAAGTACTGTTTTTATCTGCGCATCGAAGTTCGTTCAAGATCACGGGCGGATCTACGGGGGGGGAGGGGGGGCTTTCGGGCTGAAGCCCAACCAAAATGGAAAAATATAACCATGTTTTATGAGAAAAAAAAATTAAAAAATACCTCTTAAAGTATTATTGTTCGTGTAATTATGTTTAAAAGTACTTAAGGAATAACTCAAACACCATTTCATATAGGTAGTTAGTTTCTTTCTGTTTTTCTAAAGTAATTATCGTTATTTTTATGAAAAAAAAAGGTTTCGGGCTGAAGCCCCCCCCCAAAATTAAATCCTGGATCCGCTAGTGTTCAAGATCACGCATATTATATTTAGAATACCTACTTTATAGAGGGTGGACATGTATTTACATGTCTGTGTAACCATCATTTTTGCAAGGGAAACATTTTTGCAGAGGTTTGTTTGTTTGAGTGGGTTATGATTTTTTTTTAAGGAAATTATATTTGTGTTGGGTTCCAATTACGGAAGGAACTTTCAACTAGGGAACCACGAGAAAAAAACATAAAACTGGTCTCAGATCGCAAGATAATTTTATAAGATCTAATTTTCTAATTCTACTTTCATTTGCGCTATTATAAAAAGAAGAAAGCAATTAAATTTCTTGCTGAACACCCCTGAGTGTGTTATCCAGAAGGGTGTTCACAACCTGTCGTCAATGCAATGTATTGAAATAAAATAATTCTTTTCATGGTCGGAATCGAATCCTGATTGGAAAGGCAATAGTGCATCCCTCAATACATGTTGCCACCTTATATAATAACAAAAACTAATGTATCTATAATTATTATTAATTATCTGAATTATCAATTGTTAATTTTTTTAATCTAATTCATCATACATTCTTCATTAGTCACTTATCTAATTCTTCAATGCTTATTACTTTGTATATTATGACGCTAACGAGGTCTATTGTAGACAAATTCCCGAGTCGACAGTCCGTCTGTCGTTGTCAGATGTATCATGTGTCTTGACCTCTTGCACTGGTTCTTCATGAATCAGTCAGCATTTTTTTTTTCTTTGCTAAGAGTCTGTCAACAAGACACACAAATGAACATGGAGTGATAACGATCCTTTGAACTAGAGACGGTCACTTATTCTTAATAGATTCATCATGACACCTCCTGTCAACATGGATTGTTATTGTTGTGCGTTGATATAATAACTCAATATATGGTTATAATTGGAAAATTCCTACAGTACAGAAATGTGTATCTCAATAAAATAAGCGTATACTGTTATACGAATGGGTCAACCATGGATTGGTGTGATCTTGGGTTCGTTTCCTTTTCTGGCCTGAAGATGCATTAATTGGAGAAACGTTGTCGGATTATTTGATATCAGCATTTCAGAGACACAAGGCTGTGTGATTGGAATTTTCTAATTATTATCTTTCTTTTTTTATTGAAATTTACAACTGTATTACTTGAAGAATACAACAAGTAAATTTGAAATTGGTAACATGACATGTTCAACATGAAGGGAAACTACCCATTCGTATAACTCCAATTAACGGTCTATATTAGAAGGTCCCGAGGTCATCTTCTTTTCAGACGCCTCTGAGGGTTATCAGTGATAGAAGAGGAAACAAGCTTAGAAACAAGAGGGTTCGAATGGTTCAGAAGTTATCGAATTCAAAAATAGGTATCGGGATTGAAATAAATCGGCAACATTAAGGTCGTTATGGATGATTGTATTTGTGACAAAGTATAGAGCATTGAGATTTTTTCGAAGGATTTTTGATTGCAATGACTGAATACGAGAGGAATTTGATGGTTTAGTGGAGCCCCAAAGCTCGATTCCGTAAGTCCAAATCAACCTTATTATAGTCATTTTGTAAGTAATTGGAAGTTTAGAGCGTTTGTCCAGAAAGTGCTGGAGTAGTTGAAAACGTCGATTCTTGTCATTTTTAGTCTGGTTTGAGGATTCAAAGTGAGTCGTTTGTCCAGGTGGAGTCCTAGGTATCGGATTTGTTTAACAGGGATAAGTTTTGGTCGTTTTAAATTTCAATAAATTTCTTTTGATGCTGTGTAATATTAATAAAGACTATGATAACCAAATTAACCTATGAAAAATTAAATTTAAAATACTGGTATGATATTTACGCCCAGAAAGTACAATTTCGTTTGAAATTTTCCGCCTCTAAATTCTACCGTCCGTGACATGTTTCCCTTTTGCCCTTCTATAATTCTGTACTTTTTCTAAGAAAGAAATCTTGGTAATTTAAATTAACGTTTATAACCTTTTTGTTTTCTTAAAAAAAAAATACGTGCTTACTTTATTGAAATTATGAATATTTATAAACAATGAATGTTTTTTCGTTTTTGGGTTTTGAATATACGACTGCCATGAGAAGTAAAAATATGAAGAGAATTTCCGCTGGGTTGGTCCACACTTCGGAGAAAAGAGCGTGTGGGCACAAGCCTAATTGTGGTTCGGCTTAACGCTCCCTTTTAATAAATAAAATTTTCATACTAAATATATTCACTGAATTACGATAATTATGTCGTAAACTTATTGTTTCGTGAGGATATGGATATGATCCAGTTAATTATTATATTTATCGGCGGTTAGTTTTGCAGATTATAACATGTTTACGTCAAACTTAGACGTGCAAGAATAAAATCTCAATGTTCTTGAAGTGTAATTTGCTGCCTTCCTCTGGAATGATTTCTATCGAAAAAGTTTCCTTCTTAGGTATCTATAGGTTTCGAAGGCGCTTATATCGCTAATGTGCAAAAGGTCATGTGTAACAATTTTACTGTTTATTCTGTTTCCTCGGAACAGGGGTGCCTATCACTCCAATGGCACAAGATCCTACCCCCCTCCCCTCCCAAGATATTTTATTGCTCATTTTCTTAAAAACAGAGCAAGGGAAAGTGGAATTAGATAAATCATAGATCATAAACAATTGCTGCGGTCTGTTCTTTGTTTTCTCCTTGTCCCTTATTCTAAAACTATTCATTCCGAAAATTCCTAATCCCTTTGAAATGTGCTCCCCTCAAACATTTAGAAACCATTTAAAATATGGCTCCCTCAAAAATTGTATTGACGCCGTAAAACCTTGCGAACTTGAACTCGAAACAACTTGCACCGTAAAACCTTCTGGCGCGGAAGGTGACATTTTGAAGTCTACAGCTGCTATAAGTAGTCTACTACTAAATAGTAAATTAGCAGAGGGAAATAAAATATGAAATTATATTGACAAATCATAAAGAAATGACCTGTTTTTAAGTGCTCTTCTGTAAAAAAAAAAACTCAATTTTTAATTACAAGCTTTTGCACTAAGTCTCTTTTCTCCCCACTTGTGGAGGAATTAGTTTGGAGTTCCCTTGTCTTAATAGTGTTATCTAGGTATCTTAGATAGTGTATATAGGTATGCTTGTGTTTAAGATGTTTATTTTACTCTAAGTACATTTTATGTTTTGTCTCATTTTTATAAATATTTTTTTCTCTTTCCTTATAATATTTTATTTCGTTCTTATTTCTATCGTATGTATTTTTTTATTATTTTATTTATTTATGTTTATAAAAATATAGCGTGAATGTGCTCTTTGGACTCTATTATAATCTTTGCTTTAAGACCCGCACTCATATAAATTTTGTCACTCATTAACAATTGTTATACTTAGTAAATAGTCCGTGATATAGACCTCTTTTTATCAAATTATTAATATCCGGCTGAAACTTCTTAAATAGCTTCATTTGATGGTAACCTACAAATATTTTATGTACGAAAATTCTCGAGATTAGGGCGTTTGCGATCTGGAGGTCGGTAAACTTTGTCTACTTAATTAGTTACTAAAATTCCGATCTTCAGATTGAAAACAGTCCAATTCCGAGAATTTTTGTAAATAATATATTTGTAGGTTACGATGAGATGAAGTTATTTACGAAGTTTCAGCCGGATGTTAATAATTTGATAAAAAAAAAAAAGGTTCTGTACCACGGACTAAAACGGATTCCGGTGGTTTAGTAGAGCCTCAAAGCTTAACTCCATAAATCCAAATCGGCCTTGTTGGAATCATGTTTATGGATCTTCCTTAATGATTTAGAAGCTTAGAATTTTGCCTAGTAAGTGCTGAAGTAGCCGGTAACGTCGAGCGGTTCCTTGTTTCTGCAAGGGCAGATTGAAACGACGTCAATCTTCGAGAATTCAAGTTGGACTTTTGTCCAGGCGGACTTTGAACTTAATATCAGTACGAAAAGTGCGAGTATGAATGCAAGGATCGCTATTTGATAAAGTGTTTGGAGTGAGTG